TCTCCAGGACATTTAACGTGGGTCTCTGAACAGTTTGTTTCAGTTACAACACCATAACCCCAAAACCACCCCGTAGGAAGGACCAGAGGAACTGTGAATATGAAGACCTCCATGTATGAGAGAGAATAAAATCTTGGCCAGCTCCATTAGTGTCGCAGGGTAGAATCTGGGAACAAATGAAGGTCCCTCCAGCAGAAGAGTCAAGAACTTATGAATGATATAAGATTAACCCCACAAGAACCAATGGTGACCATTGGCACAGAAGGTCACCACTAACAGTCTATTGTGTGCTTAATTCCTGTAGCTCTGCTAAAGGATACAAAAAATAGGAAGCTGTCAAACAGTTAGCTTAATGTCTGTGTAACTGAAGAAAATTTTTAGTCTATTATAAAGAATCTAAAAGAGCATCTAGAAATACATAATATGATCAAGCAGAGTCAGCACGGCTTCATGAAGGGAAAATAATGCCTGGCACATTTACCAGAATTTGCTGAGGTGGTAACAAACAGGATGGATAGATGGGAAGTGGTGGATGTCATACGTGGATTTACAGAAGCCTTTGATAAGGTACTACATATTCAACTACTTGAGATGAAAGTCAATGGTGTTGGCAGTTAGCATGGATAGAGGGCTGGCTAACTAATAGGGTTGGAGTACAGGGGGCACTTTCAGGATGGCAACCTGTAACTATTGGGGTGTCACATGAATCAGTTCTGGCACTTTAACTATTTACAAAAATATTAATGACCCGGATGAGGAAAGTGAATTTCCAATAGCCAGGTTTGCAGCTGATGTCGTTGGGAAGGCAGGTGCTGAGGATGATTCAGTTTCTAGGGGGAATATATACAGGTTAAGTGAGTGGGTAAAAGTTTGACAGATGGAATATATTGTGGGAAAATGTAAGATTATGCTTTTGGGCAGGAAAAGTAAGAGCTGATTAGCTAACTGGAGAAAGACAGAGGGATTTCAGTGTTCTCGTGTATGAATCACAAAAAGCCAGTATCCAAGTTCGGTGGATAATGGGGAAGGCAAAGGGAATGATGGCCTTAATTAAAAGGAAAGGAGTACTAAAAATAAGAAAGTCTTATTAAAACTATACTAAGACTAGTCAGCTGGAATACTGTTAACTGTTTTGGGCCCTTTGTCTAAGGAACGCCATACATTGACATTGGAGACAGTCCACAGAAGGTTCACTAGGCTGATCGAGGGTATGAAGGGACTGTCTTATGAGGATGGGATGAGTAGACTGGGCCTGTACTCCTTGGAATTTAGAGTGAGGGATGACCTTATTGAAACATACAAGATTCTTAGGGACCTTGACAAGGTAGATGTGGAAAGGTTATTTCTCTGTTGTAGGAAAGCACAGGACCATAGGGCATAATCTGAGTAAGGGATTGCCCTGTTTAAGACAGATGAAGAGGAATTTCTTCTGAGGGTAGTGAATCTGTGAAATTGTTTACCACAGAGAGCTGTTCAGACTGCATCATTAAGTGCATTCAAGTCTGAGACAGATTTTTTTTTAATCAGAAAGGGGAAATCAAGGGGAAATGGGGAAAAGTCAGGAAAGTGGAACTGAACATTATCAGATCAGCCACGATCTCATTTAACGGCACAGCAGACTGGATGGACTGAATGGCCTACTTCTTCTGGGCATAGGCAGAGATGTTGTCTGGGACTTGATCCATGGAGAAATGATTCTGTGAATATGACCATCCAGATGTTGCTCAACTAATCTGAGACACATCTTCCAATTTTGAGACAAGCCCAGGTTATTGAGGGAACATGGGGTCATTTCAGAGTCAAACAAAATGAACAATCTGGTTCAACAGACAGTGGTTAGGGATAGATTTGGAGTCAGTGCCTGGCAAACAGTGTTTGTAGGGGGTTCCAAAGACAATTGCTTTGCTCTTTCTGATATTTAATTCTCCTGAGTTGAGTGGAGGAAGAAAGAGCATACAAACCTGGAACTCCCTAATTAAGGGACAAAGCTGAATTATTGAAATATGGGAGGATTGGGGACGGAGAAGGGACAGAAGAAAGAAATAGGAGGTGCAAAGTGTGGGTGCAAGTAATATAAAGGGCAACACCAATGTACTTTAGAAGCATACACATCACAAGTGGTGTCAACGGAAGAGTGAGGCCGATCAGAGAGCATGAGATCTTCTGTGGAGGCAGAGGGCATTGTAATAACAGTGTATTGAACTTCACAAAGAATGCTGTCAATCTGGTGGTAAAGGAGGCCAAAGAAGGCTGATTGGAGTGTGATCACCTCTTTATAGGCAAAGTAAGAAGTGAATGTTTGTGATGCGAGGTCACATTATAGCTAGGACTAGTGAATATTTTGCTGTTTAAGGATAAATTTTGGGGATTAACCGTGTAGAACAGCATGCTCTTCCTTCAATAATATCACGAGATATTTTGTATCCATCTGAGCTCATTCTCTGTTCAAGGTTTTGTCCAAAATGCATCACCTCAACAATGCAGAACTGTCTCTGCCTGGATCAAGTCCTAGGATTTGTGACAAATTGTGAAATGTTTGTTTCCATCTGGCCTTGGAGAACAAAACACGATATGTTTGTTTAGTTTATAAGTCCATTGCACTGTTGCTGTTTCCTGTCTAACCTTCTCTTGTTGATACTGAACTAACAAAGCCCATTGTTATAAACCATTGGAGCACATCATTCTAGCATTCTCCGTGCTTCATAGTCATGTTTTGTTGGTGTCTTTACTCATCTATATTGCAGGCTTTATTACCGTTTCATGATGCTGGTTCATTCTATTATGTAAACATAAAGTCACCACAGTCTTACAAGACCATAGGGCTGCTCTCTCTCATTACAGAGAGACAACTGCTGGTGGTTTAACCCAGGGTCACCAAGAAAATCCTCATGATAACCTCATCCAATGCAGGAATTGAACCCACACTGCTGGCATCACACTGCACTGGAAACCAGCTGTCCAGCCAACTAAACCCCCTTCTTTTATTATCTAAAATGACCTGTTTGCTAATTGATAGGCGATAGCACTATTATCCCATATATTAAGCACAGACACCATGTACAGACTCCTATGATAATTAGATTGTTTGACTGACACCACTTCAGCCAGATAGGAGTTGATATCAACACTGCTGTTTTTAACAATACCTCCGATAGTGGGCAGTGAAAGTCTGGTCTGTTTCAATATTTAATACAGCTAAGTCCCACATTCATTTAAAGTGAAACTGAACCTGTCTATACCCATGCCGTGAACTTATCAACTCCCACAAGTTTTATCAACAGAAATCAAGTCTTCACTTTGGGTGAACTCTTCCTAAAGAAATGCAAAGTCAGATTCACATGACATCAGGTCCAACAGGTTTGTATGAAATGACAAGCTTTTGAAGCGCTGCCCCTTCGTCATTTCACCTGACTCTGAAAGCTTGTGATTTCATATAAACCTGTTGGACTATAACCTGATGTCGTGTGACTTTTGACTTTGTCCACCCCAGTCCAACACTGGCACCTCCATGTTAAAGAAATGTAGCTTCCTAAGACTGGAATGTAGCATCCATATTCTAGATAGACTCTTCAAATTCCCCTTGCGTTTCTCAGCATAATACAGTACAAGACAAAGTTCATTAGTGGAAAGTTATCCTCATGTTTTTCAACTAATGATCTTAGGTGTAAACCATCTATTTCTAAATCCTATTGTCATAGAATAATACCAGGAATAAGGGATTCTAGATACAAGGAAAGATGAGCAAAAGTGGGATTACTCTCCTTGGAGCAGAGAAGATTAACAGGTGACCTTATTGAGGTGTTCAAAATTATGAACAATTTTGACAGGGTAATTAGTGTTTCCACTAATTGGTATATCAGTGGATAAGGGTCACAATTTTAGGATTGTCAGCAAGAGAGCTCGGACTGCGATGAGGAGAAACTTCTTTACTCAGAGAGTTGTTAGGATTTGGAATGTGGTGCCTGGAAGAGTGGTGATTCCAAAGATGGTTTCAAAAGAGAGCTGGATATATATTGAAAGGGATGAAGTTAGACGTTTTGTGGAGATGGGACTAGAGAATGGGATGAGCTGGGCAGTTCTTTTGGGAGCCAGTATAGGTGTGAAAGACTGAATGGTCTCCTTCTGTAAAATTCCACGATTCTATCGTTTTAAAAAAAAAACACAAGATCATCACTGTCCTCTCCACCAGCCCTGTGTGGAAAAAAACTTGCGCAGCTTCAACTGAATTCTTTTCCTGGGGCATCAATATTACCTGTTGAGTAAGCTCAATACAAACACTTGTTCTATGTTGGATTAATGTCTGAGTTATGGATATGGATGATACTATAAGGTAGGGGTGGAGGTCAGATTGACCTTAGGTTTAGGATAAAAGTTCAGCACAACATCGTGGGCCGAAGGGCCTGTACTATGCTGTACTGTTCTCTGTTCTATGAGTTGTGCACATTTGCTAAGTTCACTATTCAGCCAAGCAAAGACAGTACTGAATTCTAAAGGGTCTGTCGCTGGTCGTCAAACTGGAATCTTCCTTTAAAGTGAACTTTACTGTTTCTACAGTGCAATACATAGAGTTATTCTTGTGTGAGTCAAAGTTTCTCCCAAAATGAAAATAAATTAGTAGCCTCTCTGTGTTGCAGTCTTTCATGGGCATTTTAATGTGCCTAGTTGAACAGTTTCTGCATACAGCAATGCCCAACATGCCAAATTTCCAAATCCAGCCAGATTGTGAACAGTGTTGTATTAACAAAATCAGTTTTTTTTGTACCTTCCTCAACTATGTTTCTGGTCAAGACTGCCATTGCTTACTCACTGTGTTAAAGAGTTTTTCACAGCTCCCTACTTTTATTTCCCTCTTTCCCAATAGTAAGACATATCCGTTATCTACAACCCACATTCAGCTCCAAGAAATGAGGGGAGAAGGAGCTACCGTTCCGCCCACTGCTAAGGGGCTCTTGCTATTTAATCCCCAAAAAGATTCTTCATCTTCCAGAGTCCGGCATTACCTTGTCAACCCCTTCTTTGTTGGTCTCTGTGTTCTTGCGAAGCTGCAGCAGGTTCCACATGTCGTGCACCGACTTGCCATGTTTCTTGCTGCTCTCCAGCAGCTCCATGCCGGTGGGCAGCCTTCTCAGCTCCTGCACTTGTTGCTCCACGTCCCGCAGCTTCTCCTCCAGCTGCTGGTATGGCCCCCGGCTCCTGGCCCCACGGGGCTCCGGCCTCAGTGGCTGCTCCTGTAGGGGAGAGGGGCTGCTGGTCAGCGGGGCTCTGCCTGTACTGTCCAGCAGCTGGAAGAGTTCGGGCTCCTCAGTCTGGACATGCTGGATGCCCAGGGTCTTGAGGATGGCATGTAGCAGGGAGTGTAGCGCCAGGAAGTTGACCATCCCGGGCTCGGGGTGGCTGATGGACAAATTGGCCAAATCGAACAGGCTGATGGTGACCGACATGTCGCCGCCGGGAGGGGCCGCTCTCCGGACACTGCTGCCCCGCTGCGGCTCCGAGTGAGCGGCCAGTGGCCGGAGCCCGGACCAGGGCCGGGGCCAGAGACACCGCCCAACCCCCCGGGGACACGCCCCTTCCATAGCAACCGTCACCAGGGCCCATTGTTACTAAACAGGGGCCGGCCAATCCACGGGCAGCAACTAGCCCATTGGACAGGCAAGCTGTCAGTTACACTGCACTGACCAATAGCAACAAACCACGGGCTGTTACCCGGCAACAGAGGACGCGGAAGGAGGCGGGGTAGGGGTCAGGGGACAGGAGGGGAGAGGGGAGAAGAGAGACGGGGG